TTGGGATCTATGTAAATACTGCATGAGAAGATCAGCATTGGTGGTGATGCTTCATACACACCTTTGGACAGCAGAGGAACTGTCATCTGAATGTCACAGAAAAACCAAAAGACACTAGACCATAGTGCTTTCCAACAATCCCCCAAGATTTGGCATAAGTACGATGGATGCTAGTCAAATACTGTAAGAGACATGAAGATGATAGTAAAGTTGTAACAGATGAAATTCTTTACCTGCCTTTCAGTTTCCTGAGGCCTACACTGGAGGAAGACGGAAGAGTGCCATGGCTCTGCGCTGGGAGGCAGGCGAGTTTACAAAAAGCAACTAAAATGGAAGAAGTTGCCATTTTACCAATTTGAGGGCAACAGTTGATGTTTTCATTCAAGTTAGATGCATTTATTATTGTTATTTGTTACATGTTGTGTCATATCCTAAATTTTGCTTTTGTGATGCTTTAGAAAGCCAGTGAAAATGTTTGGACAAGTCCATTTTTAACATAAGTCCAGTTTGTACAGTGTATCAACTGAATTAGAGGAGGTTTTGGTTAAAGGTTGTGCATTATTTTCACTTAACAACACAGTTCTGTTATTTTGCAATAACATCTGAATCAGCAGAGGTGGAAAGGGGACTAAAATCATTTATTAAAAGAATGATTACTTGAAGAACCTAATGTCCAACTAATCTTCAAACAGTTTACAAAGTCAAGGGCTAACAATCAAATTAAACTCCCCAAACATTTAAAACATTTGGGTCATATGATTTGTTATTTTTGTGAGGACTATTATGTGGTGACCAACTTACAAAATACAATATGTTCAGTGACGCACCTGGCTGCTAGTACAAAACTCTAAAACCATGTACTAATATGTTGTTTAAAGTTCCTACAAGCACACGGTCTTAAAAGGCAACGGTCTTCTTCTGTTGCAGCAACATACGTTGGTCCTGTAAATTAGAATGTTGTTTAATACAGAATAAAATAATTAGAAACAGAAATGTACCACCTTAAAGCTCATTTTCAAAAAGATTGGACCATTACTTTAAAATCCACCTTTAATGTCCAGCATAAATAATCAGCTACTGTGCACAAATCGCTTGTTTGCTAATTTTCATAAAGCATGAAGGTAAGCAATGAAAACTTAGCTGATTCCTCAGACTTTGGCAAAAGTATTTCCCAATCAAAAAATGCTAATTCTATAAAAAAAATACAATTATTGTAAAAATGTATAAACATTATCAGGGCTAATTATCAAAGATGTTTTTAATCATAAATATGATACTGATACCAATACTTTTTACTTGTAATGTGATGATTATTGAATAATTTTGTGATTTTGCCGTTAGTTGATTATGATAAAACACATCAGTTTGTATGTAGGAATCTGCAGAATGGTTTGCAATGTTGCCAAATTAGCATGTTTGTTGCTAGATTTTCAGACCCCCAGTTGACTTTCATTCAAAGAAATCACCTAGCAGCAAGTCTAGCACGTTTTTGGTAAACCGTGACTGAGGTGAATCTGTTAGCACACGGAGCAACGGGCTAGAACAGGCTGCCGAGCGGTTCTGGCAGCACGGAGTACAACTCGCAATGAGCTGAGCATGTGCAGAAAAAAGTCCTATCCACATTAAACACTTCTCCCGCTTCTTCCAGTTCTTTGTCGACTCACAGAGTTTTTGTTTATTCTGGTGATGATATAACTGTTTTAAAATTTTACTATGAGCAAAAACATAGCAGACCAAAACAGAAAAATATACAGTGATAATAATAAATAATTTAGTGCCATAAACAAAAACAACTACTGAGTCAAAATGTAATTGGTACTACAGGGCTGAAGCTTTTTATTAGTAGATATAATTTTGGCAGCTTTAGGACTGTCTTTTTTGCCTTTATTTATAAACAGAAGCAGAAAACAAAAACATAATAGCCTACACTTTAAATCATAGTCTACAGTTTCGGAGATCCACATTACAAAATAAAAAGTATTGATTTTTCATTCTAGTATCGATCCGATACCGATACTCACTTTGGTATCAATGCTATCAATATTTAGATACACCCACCCCTAGTGGTCACTCAGGACCCTCCTCTTATCCTCCCCAACAGTTGAGTGCAACTGGGTCACAAAAACTTCACTAAAATTCCTGTTTTATTAATTATGAAATATTAGGTTATTGTAGCAACCTCAATGTGTCAACATTCTCTAGTCTGTACTAAAACATTCATTTAAAATGATTTAAATTTTTAGGTTGAGGCCAAAGCTAGTTAGCAACAGAAATCAAGCAAGATGGCTTTTGTATACAAGTCGTCCGTTTCGTACCAAATAGTGTGTTTCTGTCTCCACCGTGACCGTGGTAACGCCTGTCTTGGTTGTGGTGACTTAAATCCTTTTCAGTGGTGACTTGATTATTTATGTTTACAATAATTACTGTTCTAGCATGGCTTGTAAATTTCATTTTTAACTAAGCATAAAATGTTATGTAGGTTCAATGTGGAGTCTGTTGATCATTACGCATTAAGTTGATTTTCATTGAGGTCAGCTTCAGTAGAAGTTTAGGGGGTCTGTACTAGTGTAGTGCATGGATGGAGAGCTAGCAGCAGGCGGTTAGCTTCTGCAGCCTTAGCTTCAGAACTACACATTGGTTTACAAGTCATCACAAACCAGAACACAAGATTCCACATAATTACTTCATTCTCCAAGTACAAATGAAGTCAGGTCTCCACAGCATTAAACTTTTCATGTATTTCATACATAAAAAGGCAACACATGCTAACAATAGATTAAAGTACTCATCCGAGACTATGGAGCAGTATTCCCATTTTATCCCATGTTGTTGGAGGTTCACATTCACAAGGCAGACAACAGTGGAATTTCAACCAAACAAAACAGGAAAAATCATTGCCATGTCAGCAGACTGCATTCCCAGTCTTCCTTTCCGCAGCTACCTTTGAACAATGTTGACAAAAACAGAATCAATTTGTGGCCTCAAAACTGGGCTTATAGTAGCAACACATATGGCATGCACAGTAACATTCTCCAGGCCAAATCTGGTTGTTTAGGTCTTTGACAATATAAAGCAATGTAAACACTGTAGCAATTTACAGTACATTTCATACAGTCTATATTGCACTGTTAAATTTTCATGTAAAATAGCCAGAATTAGTGTAATGTAAGATTAGACATGTCTATCAGCTGACCTAGACATGCTGTTATTTTGGTAAATAACACAGCTAAATTATGTCTTTAACAATAAAACATCCCAAGGTCATTTTAAAGTCTTACCAAAAGAAGGATAAGTGGCTTTCCATCTCTTCCCCTCATAAATTATGATTTATGCATCCATCAGAACTCTATCATGTGACCTTCCTGCATTAGTGATGTCTTGTTAACTAAAAACCTGCCCTATCTTTCTAACAACTACTGTGTACAGCTTTATTTCACAGGGAAGCTGTGTCATGTTATGATTGTTTGCACCTCCACCAATGTCTCAGGATGCATTGTGGGTAGTGGATGCGTATTTTGATAAGTCTTGTCATTGAGCAAACTGTCTTGAATGGTTACGCAGGATTAATACAACAAAAGAGGGAATAGGCGCCACCCTGTGGTGATGAATAGTCTGACACCACTGTGTCTGTTGCAGGGTTCACTGTCATCGTATTAGAAGGTGAATCTCCAGCTTTCCTGTGATTTCAGTTCATTATAATCTGCCACTCAGTTTCTGTGTGTGGAGCCCCACTATTATACTTTATAATAATGTAATATGATTTTAAATATCACTATGTCCAAGATTTAAAATGACTAGGCTGAAAGCAAACTGATGCATTAGAGAAGCTAATCCTAAACCTCCAGTGGAATTTAAGTGAGTTAGAGTGAAGTGAGTAGTTCTCTTCCTTCTCTGTAAATCAGTAGACATAGCTGGAAAGCTCTCCCTCTCTCTCTCCCTCTCTCTCTCTCTCTCTCTTTCTCTCTCTCTCTCTCTCTCTCTCTCTCTCTCTCTCTCTCTCTCTCTCTCTCTCTCTCTATATATATATATATATANCTCTCTCTCTCTCTCTCTCTCTCTCTCTCTCTCTCTCTCTCTCTCTCTCTCTCTCTCTCTCTCTCTATATATATATATATATATATATATATATATATATATATATATATATACACATTCCAAACATGAATTTTCCAGTCTGTTTAGACTTTTGCTCTTAGAGCATAATAACAAAAACCAGTCACAAAAACTAGTCATTTTGAAAAGGATAAGAGTGCTAAGCTTGTGTGATGGAGAAAATGTCCTAAGAGCATATCCCAGTGCGATCTCTGTTATCTCTTCTCTTGCCTGCTAATAATCAGAAAACCTAAAAAGGTTTAAACCAGCACTGAAATGAGAAAACACGGGCTAAAATAATACTATAATATAAATAAATATATAGTGAAGTGAGTTCTTGATTGCTGTGATGAAACTGTGCAGCAGGCACCAATCTGAAATCATTTTGTGTCTCTTGCATTGAGCTTTACTTCTCTTCTAGTTTTACTCGGATCAGGTTTACATTTCATGACAGTTTGTTTAAAAAGTGTATGGAAATTTCTCTAGATTAAGAGCACCTTATTGCTGCTAATTCCCTAAATATGTCTTGATCAATGGAGGATGATTTGGTGTTTGTTAATGCAATCCTCAGGTGAAAAGGTTTCAGCAATAAGCTTGCAGAAACATTTATTGCTTCTCATCAGTCTGGGTGGGCTTAGGGAGAACTTCATTGCAGAGGAAGGGTTGCCAAGAGAAAGCCTCTTCTCTCAAAAACAATACAGCAGTGCACCTGGGGCTTGTAGCTTCGCATCTGAATGAACCACAGCACAAAGTAAAGATGTTTTACCATAATTCCAGCACTATGTTCGGCAAAAAGTATGAAAAATAGGCTCCTGTGGCAACTACATGACCTGAGAACCTTGCAGTCACTGAATGGCCCATGAACACCTCTTCAGACTGTATTTTTGAGTCAAGTGGCTGAGCCTGTCTGCATGGTAGCGCAGTTGGTAGCGCTGCTGCTTTGCGGCAAGAAGGTCCCGGGTTTGACTCCCAGCTGGGAGGTCTTTCTGCATGGAATTTGCATGTTCTCCTCATGCATGCGTGGGTTCTTTCTGGGTACTCCAACTTCCCCCCTCAGTCCAAAAACATGACTGTTAGATCAATTGGTCTGAGATGTGAACCCTGCCTCTCGCCTGTAGGCTGCTGGAGATAGGCACCAGCTCCCCCACGACCCAGTATGCAAGAAGTGGGTATGGAAAATGTATGGATGGAAAATCGAGGTGTTGCAATGACCATGGTCCATCTGGTTAAAATGCTGTGCTGGGACCAAGAGAGTAAATAATACCCACAAACCTCAATGACTAGAAGCAATGTTGTTTGTTTAGAAGAGTAGGTTAAAATACCCTCACAATGCTATAAACGACTGATCCAGGTTTACACATCCTACTTCAAGTAACTGCTTAAGGCTGCTCTACAGACTCCATGTGTCTTGGGTTGTCCTTAGTTTTCCTCATGACAGATTTGAAACTGCCTTTTCTTTCCCTCTGTTGTATTTTACCACTAACAGAGAATCTGAGACTGGAAACATTTGCTGGCTTTTGCTGAGATTCTGAATGTATCTAAATGTAATGTAGATTTATTCTTGCTAAGCTCACTTTTGAAAATATATTTTGGTGTCACTATCTGTATTGATAAAGAAAATGCTATGTTATGTTGCTCACTCTATATTATATGTATTTTTGTACAATGCTTCAGCTGGGCGGACATAAGGAACATAAAGTGCAAAATGTTTGGAGTCTGAAAAATCTATCGAACAGATAGACATTTTAAAAAGATCTTTATAAGAACAGTTCTGTTAAGCTTAATTTAAAGGACACATTTACAATAAAGGTCACTTTAAAGGAGTTTACTGAGAAAGTAAAGAAGTTACCAAGTGCAGAGCACTTCAGTTTAAACGCAGTTCAGTTTAGTATAGTTAAATTTAAAAAATTAGTTTCTTACTTAAGGAAAATTTCCAGATGGGATGACAACAGGTCCAGCAGACCTGGAGGCAGTTTTTCTAAACCACCTGGGAAATGAAATGATAAGACAAAGACACAGATACACAGAAGCACTGATCCATACAGGCTTTTTGTGGAAATGATGGAAAAACACAAAAACTGGGAGCAACAGTAGCAGAGATAATCAGTGCAAAAGTAGAGTTGGAGAACTAAACATGAAGTTTACTTGGACAAGTCAGGATAATCTATAGACATCAAGAAAAATACTTAAACAGGTGTAAAAAGTGCAGATGGTGTCGATTGAAGTTCTGGAATCTGTCTGAAAGCAAACTGCAAGGTTTGGATAACATGAGGTCATGATACATTTCATTTCAAATCTTATGATATAACTTCCAGTCTAGCACATCCTTGTGTTCTTCGTTCTATAATCTTATTGGAATAATCAGGAGAGATCAAAACATCTAAACTCCAGCTGCACCGTTTGGGATATTTGGGACCTCTCAAGCAAGAAAGAAAGAAAGAAAGATCCCAGTTTTAATTCTGGCTCCTCCTAAAAGCGTACCATAAAGTCAGAGTGGGTTGTGGTCTTAACAGTTGTCTGCCCCAAAAAGATTTGCTTTACGTTTTGTTTGTAGGCTTTAGATGTTGAAACTGCAGCTTTTAAATCTCAAGCAGTGCTTGTTGATGTTTATAAAATGTGTGAATAGTCCCTGTTGTGGTTTTTATGAAGAAATATGCAGGGACTATTCACTGTGGATTTCTCCTACTGTGTTTTAAAGAGATTTGTGCAACAATAAATACATTTTATGTGAAGAATATTGGCTGGCTTTTATTTTTGCTGCTTTTGTCTGTGTGAGTATATGCAGAAGAACATTTGATGCATTGATAATCAGAAACCACCACAGGTGTTCCAGCTGCTACAATAGACCACGTAAGAAGCATGAAGCTGACCTCGCTTTGGGAAAAATACATTTATTTATGGCTCCCTGCATTACAATAAAAATGAGTTTACATTAGTTTTTGAAAACCAGGACCACCTATAATGATGTCTGGAAGATAATAGATGTCATGTTATGCAAGAGTTGCATGGAACAGTAACTAGAGCACCGCTTTTCATAAAAATGTCTGAACCTACACAGCATTTACTTCCACAAGAGACTGTTTATGACTGCTTGCATTGGAACGCCACTGATTCCTACTGAACAAGCGAGTGCTGCTGACATCCTTCTGTACAGGCGACAAAGCTGTGGCTCTGTGGGTGTTGGCTGTGTGTCCTGAATATGTGGGGCATCTCTCAGCGAAAGCCGGAAACTGTAACAGAGGCGCAGGCTGGTGGAGAGACATTGCTGACCCCTGCTGCTGGAGGGTCCAGACATAAGAGGTGCTGCTTCCCTTCCAAGTGCTTGCTTGATTTCTCACTTCTCAAAAAGATATTCTTTCCCTCAGATTCTATGGAAACCAGAAATGCTATTTTATTCAGTCAAATAGGTTTACCATAAAATACTTATAGTCATATAAAGACTGCTAAACTGATTATATTACAAAGATAAATCTTTATTTTATTTTGCTAAAACTGAGTGCAACACTGAATGAAGGAGCATTATTAAATGGAAGGGGTTCTGGCCAACTGCTGGGTCCAAACCTCCAGCACCACAGCTCCAGTCAGACTCTGTAGCAGTATATTGAAATTAAAACATAGAACTTCCCAGCATCCCAGAATGATAAGTGAAAGATGCAGTGGGCAAACATACTAGATGAGGTTCTAACAAATGAAATGCCAGTGACTGTCCACTGTCTCCACATGCTCATCCAGGAGGAGTGAATGCTGCAAGCCACTGACTGGATGCAATCTGCTGGGTTTCCTTAGACAGAAAAACGTTTAACCAGTTCGAATAATAAGTTGAATCTGACTGCAGTGTTTGATAGTTAGGATTAATTGGAATGTATGAACCTGATTTGAAATCTGTATGATTAGATTGAACTGACTTTGTGAAGAGCCTTGAGACGACATGTGTTGTGAATTGGAGCTGTATAAATAAAACTGAACTGAATTGAAAATAAGACTCCCTTTCAAAGGTCATACTTAGGCATTTTTGGTGCAGACAGCCATTAAACCTTAATTCACTTGAATGAATCAAACATAAATTAACTGAAATTAAGCAAATGAAGAACATGACAGTGCGGAGAAAAGCAAACAGAACTCAAACTCAAAGCCCCAAACACAGGCAGATTATGACATGTAAATCTAAGCCCAAACTGAGTCATTCTTCTGACATATTGAGATTTAAAGTTATCTTATATTTAATTAAGAAAATTGTTTATGACTGGAAATGGCACGGGCTATCTCTATGGATCAAATTCTAGTCAGGATTCTGGCTGGGCTGCACCAAAACATTAGAATAACTTGGTTTAAGTATTACTTTCCACTTAAATCTGACAGGGGTGTCTATATCATTTTTTGGCTTAATTGTAAATAATATTTCTGAGAATATTTTACAGTTTGATTCTTAATTATTTTGTTCTTTTTGTTGTTCAAGCAGTTATTATCAATATGTGGAATGAATAATTTTTCCATTGCTGCCACATGTTCTGTCCCTGTGGACTCATTGTTGACTAAAGGTGAGTAAAAAGCAACACATTTTCTAAAACATCAGTTTATCAGTGACCAACAGGTGTGCAGGTGTACCTCACCACCATGAAAAACAAGCACAAAATAACAAGCAGAAGTTTCACTTATGTGCTGGTCTGAAGTATACACACATGCATTAACGCAGTGTTTCACAAGATGTGAAGATTTAGGGCCGGAGACAGAGAGAAAGTGTTGGGGTCTTATATTGTTTCAAATATCAGACTGCTTAAAACGGACTAAATAAGGTATAAAGGGAGAACGTCTAAGACGTGCTAGCAAATATAGATTTACCCACAAGAAAAGCACATTAGTTTATGTTGACTGGTTGGCTGGAGATGTTCTGCTCTTCATGGAATCCTATCTAAATTCAGTAATATTGTCCATTTTAGATAGGAAAGAGTAGCAGCCTGATGCTGGGCCAACACAGAGCAAGGATTCATTTGATGCATTTATATTGTGGACGTTCCTACAGTGTCGTGTCCTGACGGGTCTAAAGACAGATTCTGTGACCAAGTGAGGCTCCCTTCCATAGAGAACGTGCTTTAGTCAATGTGTTCCACCCAACCACAACTTTTTAAATATCTTCAAATCAACACCAACTGCATTTCATGTACAGTAAAAAAACAGGAAAAACAAAATTGTTTTCTTTTACTAACCATCAAATCATATTTAGTTTTTTCCATTTTATTAACAGTGATTAACATGAAATTGACTTGCTCTATTAAACAACTCCAAGCACATGTCTCTGCTAAATTAAATGTGATAAATTATATATCTGGTTAATAGTTATATATATAGTTATGGATTCTGCTTAATGTATTGAAGAAGGTATCACATTTGTACATTAAACAAGTGAGTATAACACGAGGCAGATGGGTGATAATAGTTTCAAGTGGAAAGTTGCAGAAGGTGCAGCATTCCAAGACTGGCTTACGGAGCTAGGCAAACCGGCAGCACTTGAAAGCAAATCACATAATTACAAAAACAAAACTGAAAAAATAACATGAAGCTATGATTATATTCCCTAGAGGGTGATAAACATTCTGTGTTCACTTTGATCCATGTGATCACCTGAAGCAGGACTGACAAAAGATGAGAAGCGAGGTGGTCTTGCTCTGTTTTCTGGGACTCTATCTGTGGACGTGGAATCTCAGATGGGACTTTGAATGGATTATGGATGGTGATGCGATGATATCGCTAATATATTTTAGTTGTCTTGGATAGACACAGATACAGTGTAAATCCAGGGTTACAGTAAATACGACCCTGAGTGAAACAACCGGAGATGAGCTGAGCAGCATGGAGCAGCAGAGACACAAAGGATGATTTAAGATCTGAAGACACTGTCATTTTTTAACTTTATATTAGAATCTATAGAGAAATATTTATTTCACTATATCACATGTGTGTGTAATTAAGCTTATTTTAATAATCATAATAAGTT